ATGCGGCGGCGCAGGCCCCCGAGGATCCCAGGTTGGACCGTCGCCTCGACGCGCACGGTGTGACCCTCGTCCCGTCGGAGATGTTCCCCGCACATCGGGGCCCCCCCGCAGCTACCCTTCGCCATGCGGAGACAAGTGGGGAGGCTGCACTTGCGGCCGATCAGGGTAGACCGATACTTCTGCGCATGGTGGGCGCAGAGGTGCACCTGTGCATTGAGACAATGCCCAGGCCGAGGAACGTCCGACACCTCCGCGTCCTCCTGTAGCAGGACAGTGGCCTCCTGCATCCCTCGGTCGCCGCACCCCTCCGGCTGGAGGGGGCGTGCGCCACCCGCGAGCTGCACCCCAACTTGTGCGGCTTGGCAGGGGCGCTCCTCCGCCTCCACCTCGCTCTCCGAGTCGATGTCCAGGCGGCGATAGCCCGTGGCGTCGGTGATGTAGCGGGGCTCCGGCCGGCCCCGGCACAGCCATCCGAGTACCGACCAGGGTGAGCAAAGCAGCCACTTGACGACCCCGAATACCTTCCGGAGTCCCACGCCGACTGCCCGGCAGGCCGTGGCCCTTCCGTGCTCAGCCAAGTCCACGATCTGTGTGTGGTCAATGGCCGCGTACTGGTCGACGTGCATGGGATGCGCCACTGGACAGGAGGCGCACTCGACAGCACGACATAGATGCACATTCCCTGTCTCCTCGAGGTTCAGCCGCCACTTGCGACTGGTGCACCCCAGGACCTGCCCGATCTTGATGTTGAGCCCGTGGCGGTCCAATCGGTACCGGTCCGCGAAGTTGCAGCTGATGCGGGCCACCTGCCCGTGCTTACGCAGCAGCACGTGGTTGTACGCCCGATTGGTCCCTCGGCCGCGGACCCCCTTTGTGTAGAACTCTGTCTCCACCACGCCGCCCAAGCCCGGCCCGCGCCAGCGCACCAGCAAGGGGGTCGGAGGGGGTGGGGGAAGATGGGCGCCAGGCCCATCCCCTCCGCGTCGCTGGCAGCACCGGGTAATCTGGTACCACGCCCAGCGGAGTCCCCCGGCAGCCCACAGCATAGGCTGGGCTGCGGTGTTGACGATGAAGGCCAGGGCACCCAACACGAACGTGAAGATGCCTAGGGCAAAGCATAAGACCGCGGTCTCCCACCAATACCCAAGCATCTTAACGCCCAGGCGGTCGACGGCGGATCCAAACCATCCGCCACTCGTGCGGATCGTGCCCGGGTGGTCGGGGGAGCTTACCCACGCTCCATAGCCCACGACCTCGAAGACCCAGGCTGCGAAGCCCCAACCGGGACCCGGCCCTGCCTCCGGGGGCGGTGTAGGTGGCGGCGGCGGCGGTGGGGGTTCGCTCCGGCCAGCCCACCAATGGGGCAGGTGCGGGACCCAACCACTCCACCCCCAATACCCGTCCGGCCCACGCGGCAGGTCAGGCTCACCATCGCCCGTCCGGTTTCCCGGGGCGGACGGCTGCCCAGGCGCGCCCGTGGGCTCGTTGTTACCTCCGTATGCCGGCGTAGCTGGGCTGCCTGTGGGCTCGCCCTCGCCTACGCGCCCGATGCCCGCGGTCGTGGTCGTTGTAGTCGACCCTGACCGCGGCGGCGGTGGGACGCCCGGCGTCCCCGGGGGCTTGGCCTGCGGCCCTCGCCCCTTTCCCCCTGCAGGCGCGGGCTTGGCGGGCGGTCCTCGCCCCTTGCCTCGCCCCCCACCGCCTGCCGGCGGCGCTGTCGGCCCGGGCAGGGCTGGCGGCGTCGGCGCTGGGACCTCATGTCCCCCGCGCCCGAATGGCAGCCAGCCAAGTGCCCCTTGGACCGTAAGAGCGCCGCCCGTAACCAAGATCATCAGGTGCGCCCCCAGGAAGCCCACAGCCATGGCACCACAGGCGCGCTACCTAGTCCGCGGACTAGCACGGCTGTGGTTATGGCCGCCCCGCGGCCCCCTGGAACACCCGCGCGTCGGCCAGAGCCGAACGCTACGGACCCAAAATGGCTACCTGAGCCCACACCCCCTCCCACTTAACCTGCAGTCTACAACCAATCAGACTATACAATTTGTCCCAACCCTCCTGCGTTGGGTTCTCGTTTTGAATAGAGCACTGCTCGCGCGTCTCCTTCCCACCCCCTCCCGCCCCTCTCTTCCCCCCTGCCTTTCGCCTCGCTCGTCGCTGCGTGCCAGCTGGGGGCGGCTGCGATCTGTGAAACTGTCGCCACTTTCGAGGCCTGCTGGGGGGCCCAGCACAGTCTGCACCCGCGGCGGATTCAAATGGGACCTCGCCATCCCTGGGGGGCTGCGATCTGCGAAACTGTCGCCACTTTCGAAGCCTGCTGGGGGGGCCCAGCACAGTCTGCACCCGCGGCGACCCCAAATGTGACCTCGCCGTCCCTGGGGGGCTGCGATCTGCGAAACTGTCGCCACTTTCGAGGCCTGCTGGGGAGCCCAGCACAGTCTGCACCCGCGGCGGATTCAAATTAAACCTCGCCATCCCTGGGGGGCTGCGATCTGCGAAACTGTCGCCACTTTCGAGGCCTGCTGGGGGGCCCAGCACAGTCTGCACACGCGGCGGATTCAAATTAAACCTCGCCGTCCCTGGGGGGCTGCGATCTGCGAAACTGTCGCCACTTTCGAGGCCTACTGGGGGGCCCGGCACAGTCTGCACCCGCGGCGGGCTCAAATGGGACCTCGCCTTCCTGGGGGGCTGCGATCTGTGAAACTGTCGCCACTTTCGATGCCTGCTGGGGGGGCCCAGCACAGTCTGCACCCGCGGCGGACTCAAATGAAACCTCGCCGCCCCTGGGGGGCTGCGATCTGCGAAACTGTCGCCACTTTCGAAGCCTGCTGGGGGGCCCCTCACAGTCTGCACCCGCGGCGGACTCAAAAGGGACCTCGCCATCCTTGGCGGGCTGCGATCTGCGAAACTGTCGCCACTTTCGAAGCCTGCGGGGGGGGGGGGGGGGCATCACAGTGGGGTGCCCACGGTGGATTCAAACGGGACCTCTCCATCCCAGCACAGTCTGCACCCGCGGCGGACTCAAATGGGACCTCGCCGTCCCTGGGGGGCTGCGATCTGCGAAACTGTCGCCACTTTCGAGGCCTCCTGGGGGGGGCCAGCACAGTCTGCACCCACGGCGGATTCAAATTAGACCTCGCCTTCCCTGGGGGGGGCTGCGATCTGTGAAACTGTCGCCACTTTCGAAGCCTGCTGGGGGGGCCCAGCACAGTGGGTACACACGGCGGACTCAAATGAGACCTCGCCATCCCTGGGGGGCTGCGATCTGCGAAACTGTCACCACTTTCGAGGGCTGCTGGGGGGCCCAGCGCAGTGGGTACCCGCGGCGGACTCAAATGGGACCTCGCCATCCCTGGGGGCCTGCGATCTGTGAAACTGTCGCCACTTTCGAGGCCTGCTGGGGGGCCCAGCGCAGTGGGTACCCACGGCGGATTCAAGTTAGACCTCGCCATCCCTGGGGGGCTGCGATCTGCGAAACTGTCGCCACTTTCGAGGCCTGCTGGGGGCCCAGCACAGTGACGCCACACGCAGATTCAAATTAGACATCGCCATCCCCGGGGGGGTGCGATCTGTGAAACTGTCGCCACTTTCGAGGCCTGCTGCTGGGGCCCAGCACAATGACGCCTCCCAAGTAGCTTACACATCAAGTTGATTGTCCATACAAGTTTCGGCCAACTCCTCGTTTCCATTGATACAAATGGGTTGGGTACGTCACAGGGATTTGTTTTTAGCCGCGCGCTAGTTACTGCAAGAGCCCTCGGGGAGGTGCAGTCGATGAAACATTCCGGGCGCTATTCAATGGGACGCTTGGCAGGGACAATCACGGTGGGCTGCCAGTCTGATGCCAGCATTGAGCCGCAGCGATTGCGAAGAAGGCAGAAGGGAAGGGAGAGCAGGGGAACGCGGCTAACCGCCGCAAGCACACGAGAGCGAGTTAGCAGTGCAGTCGCCTGGCGCACCGCATACCTGGTGTGATGACAGAACCGTATCTCGTCGAAGCTGGGTGATGCCCCACGCCCACTATTACTGACGAAACCGTTTCTCGTGCCATGAATTCCATGGGCTCTCGGTTACTCGGTTCCTTTTCCCAGCCTTGCCCAGTGAATCGGGTCCGTTCTTCGAGTTGACGTTCCCTTTGCTCGGGTGCTCTCCTGCTGCGTGGGACCTGGAGGCGGCGGTCCCGTTGCTGCTGGCAGCTCCTGAGCTGGAGGCGTTACTGATAGCCGTGAGCCTGTCCGTTGGGCTGCGAAAGCTGGTATTGGTGCGCAGGATATGGTCGGCGCGGTACACGTCGCAGTTTGCAAACCTCCAGGAGTTGAGGAAAACCTGGCACATGCTTGGCGGCTGCAATGCTGGGTCAAAGTTCGGCTGGGCGTTAGTGGGGCAAGTTTTGGTACAGTGTGCACACCACAGGTCCCTGAACATGCTGCCAAGCTCTTTCTGCATCCTGAGGATGAAAGCGCTGTCGGACTCACAGGAGTGTTGTGAGTCGATCGTTCGCATGTACTTAATACTTTTGGTCGCAGCCGCAAGCGACAGCGCAGGCGGTATCAAACTGGACGGGCGGGCCACGCGCGAACCTAATTGCCTAACGCGCCAGCAAAAAGAGGCCTGAGCGGCACCTCAGCGGACCGGAGGCATGTACTTAATACGCGCAGCGTGAAACATTTCTCAGAAGGCCGGGGGTACGTCCGAACCTTCTGAGAAGGCCCGCCCCCTCTCACTTCCCCCCGGGCTCGCCGCCGACTCCGGACATGAAGCAAACGGATCCCGAGGAAAGCGGGCCCTGGACCCTGGGGCCTTCCCTAAGGGCCGCTTCTTCACCATGAGTTGTTACGTTGACGGCCCATGGGCCTGCGCAGGGCCCCGTAGGCCCGAAAACGGCGGAAAAAACAGGACCCGTGTCCCTCGGGATCCGCCCGCTTCCATGGCGAGTGCATCCCCCCCTGCCCTGTCCGCCCCCCCTCTCGCACGACCCGAATGGCTGCGCCGCTTGCCGCAACCTCCCCCAGGACCCCGAGGAACGCGACGCACTCGAACGGCACGCAGCCCAGGGCGCACGGCCGCTCCTTTGCCGGGAGGGCCAGATGCTCGGCCCAGCCCGCCAGGAAGAGGGCAAAGGCCGGCGCGCTCGCATTTCTCGCCAGCGGGCCAGCCAGGAAGCCGACGCGCGCCGGGCACCTGGGCGCCAGGCTGCGCGGGCGCGAGGGGCCCGTGGGGGCGCCGGCGCCGACAAGGGGCGCCTCCAGGTCGTGCCGCTCGGCGTCCTCGCCGACAGCACCGGCGGCAGCCCGCCGCAGGCAACACCGTCGCGGGCAGCGCCGGCGGCAGCTGGCCGCGGCTCGGAGAAGCCCGTCGCGGCCACAGTCCGCCACCATCCTGGCCCAGGGCCAGGAGGTCACTGCTGGCACGGCGCGGCGCGGCGGGGCAGCCCGAGCAGAAATGGCCGCGTGCTCACCGAGGGCCTCCAGAGCTCGACGTGGTAGAGGAACACCACGGCGCTGCGAGAAACTGAGCGACCACGTGTGAGCCCTGCCCCAACAGGCCCAAATCCTTTGGGGAGGGGGGGGGGCGGAACACCTGGGGTGCCAGGGTGGGCTCGATCCTCGAAGCTCGATCCTCCAGCGGCGACGGCGGCGGCGACGGCGGCGGCGACGACGAGAGCCAAATTTCGGGGAGGGGAGGGGGGGGTGCCGTGCCGGGCTGAACTCAGGAGTCGCGAGCGGACCCCCCGCCCCCTCCCGCCTGGGTGAGCCCGCAAAGGCCCAGGTCGACGAGCGACGGTGGCAGGGTCCGAAAGCTCACCACAGCGCGCAGACTTCGACCTCGGTTGATGCGTGCGCGCCTTGTGCCCAAAGCAGGGCGAAGGCGCCAGTCGTGAATTTTTCACTGCGCCTGGATCTGAGGGCTACACCCTCAAAGACGACCCACAGACCTGTCCTGGAGCGCATGCTGAGCAGGATTTCGAGGCAGATCCAGCCGTGGCGATGGGGAGGTGAAAGTCTCCTCTGGACGTAGAGTCCTCCCCCTCCCCCTCTCCCTCCCCTTCCCCCTCCCCAGTCCTCCTCCCTCCTCCTCCTCCTCCTCGGAGATCTCTGGAGGTGTCCAGGGGCCTCTGGAGGCCTCAGGGGGGCGTCCAGGCCTCCAGTTTTCATCATCGAGCATCGATCATCGAACATCAGGAGGCGGTCGGAAAGGAGTGGGAGAAGGAGAAGGAACCCTCCTCCACTTACTCCTTCCCCTCCGCCTCCTGAGGGACGGCGTCGGCCCCCATGGGATTCCTCCGACACAAGAATGCGCGGCAGCTTTTTCGAGCTCCGCGCTCCTTCGAACCCGGCCAGCCAGGTGCAGCGAATGATGACCAGAGGAGGAGGAGGAGGAGGAGGAGGAGGAGGAGGAGGAAGAGGAGGAGGAGGAGGAGGAAGAGGAGGAGGAGGAGGAGAAGGAGGAGGAAGAGGAGGAGGCGGAGGAGGACTCTCGGTTCCTCGGGACCATGAGTGTGCCGTGCCGAGCCTTTCCCACTCCTCTTTGTCGCCGTCTGGTCCGTTCGGATCTGGTATTGCCGCCGAACCTCGTCCAGCTGTGGACGTTCACGCTCCTGCTACCACTGACGCGCTATGCATGTCAGACGATGGCCGAACGGGCGGAGAGATAGGTCAGCGTTTTCACTCGATAGTGTAACATGAACCAAAAGAGGGCGCCTTTACGGAAACAAACACATACACATGTGACATCAAAGCAAAACAGAGTTCCAGGTCGTACGTACATAGCAGGGGTGTGGGATAAAATGCTTCACACTTTTCCAGGGACCGACCACAGCGATGTCTAAAACGATATGGCGTTTACAACGAACAACAAAACGATGCCCAACTTTAAAAACAAACGTGTAAAACGAAGCCGGTGCCAAACGAAAACAAACGACAAACGGGGCGTTTAAAGCAACAACGAACAACGACACGAAAACCAAAACAAGAGCCCAAACCAAGCTATACAGCGTTGTGGTCGATCCTTGCCCATTTCTCCACCCCCCATTTAGGTTACTCCCCTGTACCCGCCAGAGACGAGACGAGCGGCGGCATCGGTACAATATTAAGGAGGCAGGAAGGCAACTACTGGGAGGTCTTCGCCGGAAAGATTACGGAGGATGAAGCCCCACTAGGGGGCTGCCATGCTGGATTAGGCCGCGGAGCAAGCGGGATTAAACTGGATTAGTCAGGATTAAGACCAGATTTTAGCGGGATCAAACCGGAGTAAGCCAGTTTTTGGACCAGGGCACAATCAGAATCTGACCTCCCAAGTGTTGCATCCCAGAGGACATCCGTGGAGGAGGAGGATCTCCGACACCAGAGTGCGCGGCAGCGTCGACTGCACCGACGGGAGCTGATACAACACGGCGGCCACCGCCGCCTGTGCGCAGGGGCACAAAGGGGCAACGCGGCCTCGGCCCGGGAGCGGCCGGAGGCGTGCGCGCCTCTCTGGGAGGGCGCCTCCTCGCCATCGCTCGGACGTCCATTCGCCGTGCATGTTCCGATGTTGTGCGTGTTCTTTTTCGTAAGATGGTCCAGGATGTTCCTCGATGGTCCTCGCCGAGGAAAAATGCACACGTCTCACCGATGCCAGGCCTCTGGGTGTAATGCAAGATGACGCTGAACGAAAGACTGTGGGGACAACGAACAACAGGCCAGGATCGGAGCAGGCGTATGGTCCAGGACCTCCGACGATCCGATCCTTCGATCTGGACGCTCCTCCTCGACTTCGGCCTCCAGGGCCCGCTATCGGGCCCAGGAACCATCAAAAACGGATCTACCTCCGGGGAGAGTATCGGGAGCTCTGGCGCCGCGCTGCGAAAAATTCACAGCGGAGGATGTCTGGGTTTGGCGCCCTCCTGGATCGGTGCAGGCGTACGATTGAAAACGAGTGAGCCCAAGACGGTCCTTCGTTCGGCGTTTTGACTATACAGGGCCTGGCCCATCTGTCGAGATCTTCCATGTCGGCCCCGAGGAGGCAGGCTGATCGAGGACCGAGGATCGATGACCGAGGACTGAGGGGAGGATGATCGAAGACCGAAGGGAGGAGGATCGAGGGTTATGTTTCTAGACGTCTATGGCCATGGCCTTCAGAGGCCTCCAGAGGGGGAAGAAGAAGCAGAGGGGCGAGGATGACTGTAGAAGGCTTTAGGGGTTCGATCCCTCCTCTCCTCTCCTCCCAAACCTTTTCTCGTTACGAGAAAAACGCAACGCAAGGTTCTTGACGTTTTTCGGCCTCAGGAAACCTTACTCGACCACAGGCCTGTGAAAACACGAGACGGGATGAAGAACTGTCCCAGCGAAAAGGTCCAGACCTGCTGGGTCCGCCGTGGACGCACGGTGCCCACCCACTGGACCTCGTCCCGAATTCCCTCATCAAATGAAGCACGCAACTCAGATCCTCCCCAAAGCTGAATACTGCAATGAATCGTGGGACAGAGAGAAAGCGGCGAGGGGTAAAAAAGGAATGAAAGGGTCACGCAGGTGAAGGTATGACATTGAAGCGTAAACGACACGTACATGTCTCGCGCAGGCACTGGCAGCAAAGTCAAGCAGGCAGGAGCGCACTCGAATTGTCCAACATGTGGTAATAGAGCTGCCCCTTTGGCCTGTTCGGCATATTAAGTCAAGCATAAAAAGCAACAACGGCCGCCTGTAGCTCGTAGATCAGCGCGGCATACAAATACGCGTAGTAGAAAACAGCCCATTCTTCACAAAGGACCTGGGCAACGCAATTCGGTCCATCCGTACTCGCCACGCACGTATTCACCACCATAGGAGGATCTCTCATCAGGGCTGAGAAGATGAGGCAGGAGGATGCTAGAACAGCGGACCACCAGCAAAATCCACAACGACTATCCACCGTCCCAGTTAGAGGGCAACTCGGTTATGGAGACAAGCTTTCTTGACCACCAGCATGTCCATATGTCTGCGGCTCCTGCAAATTGCTTTAGACTGTTCGCTCGTTCGCGGAAGGGCCCCAGAATCCACCAATATTTACAGGCGTGCGACCTCCAAAGGGCCAGAACAGGTGCTCTAGCACGGGCAAGCTGTGTTATTTTACCTTGTCACTGAACGCGTGGTACCCCAGGCCCCGGAACAGATGCGCCCCCACAAGCAGACAACTCATCTCCAGCCGTGGCCTTACACGCGAACCCTGAGGTCCCTGAACAAGCCTTGCCCGTGTCTGGTCCTTGCTCCCACTCCCCAATATCCCTCCATCCTCCCTTTTCCTCTTCGTATAAATACCGACATCAATACGAATGAGACCGGAGAAAAAAAACAAGCATAATATTTTTAGGGCTGTAGGGCTATAGGGCTATAGGGGGTATAGGGCTATTGGGCTATAGGGTAATAGAGCTACAGGGCTATAGGGCTCTATATATATATATATATATATATATATATATATATATATAGAGGGCTATAGGGTATAAGGGGTATAGGGCTATAGAGCTATAGGGCTATACGGCTATAGGGCTATAGGGCTATTGAGCTGTAGGGCTATAGGGCTATAGGGCTATAGAGCTGTAGGGCTATGGGGCTATAGGGCTATGGGGCTATAGGGCTATAGGGCACCCCCGGGCACCCGGGCACCCCCGGGCACGCCCGGGCACCCGGGCACCCGGGCACCCGGGCACCCCCGGGCACGCGGGCGTGCGGCGAAAATCGGCGGCAAACCGAACGTAACCATATGAATCCGCTAGGACCCCTACAGAGGCAAGCTCTGATGGGGGAATATTAATATTAGCGCCAGTCTTTGCCTGAGTCTTCATGTTCATGCGAATGTCATATGACGTTTAGTCAGTGATGCTAGTAGCAGACAGCCAAAGAAACTGTAGCAGGCTTAACAGACGGAGGTTGCATAGAACGAATGTCGTTAGCACTTGTAGCAATACTGGTATAGTCGTGTCGTAGAAGTAGAAGTAGTAGCAGTAGTAGTAGTAGTAGTAGTCGTCGTCGTCGTCGTCGTCGTCGTCGTCGTCGTCGTCGTCGTCGTCGTCGTCGTCGTCGTCGTCGTCGTCGTCGTCGTCGTCGTCGTCG